CCCCAAAACCCCAAAACCCCAAAACCCCACTACTTAAATAATAATTTCAGGGTCGAAGACAAAATGGAGGTTCGATTGTCATGAATGCATGGTCGAGACTAGGGGCTAGCTAACCTCATTCTGTGTATCAAATTATACCTCAATATGTGCTGAAGCTTTGGCAGATGAACTACTGTGAAATAGACTTGTGCGAGGGTATGGGGGAACCTTAGTCCAATTTTAGTAACTAACCTATTAATTGTACTGATCCTAGATCATTATCTTGTAAAATCTGTCTAGCTTCGGCTCTATTGATCTTGCAATGAATAATATTTATTTCTGAGAGAGTCAGCTTTAAATCGACTGAGGTTGCAAGGCTTTGGATTAAATATGTAAACTCTTGAGGGTTATTCTTCCAATCGCAATTTTTTGAGTCTCCTCAATAACTGAGATTTATCTTTTCAATTTGAGTGTTTATAAGGGCTTTTGAAAGATCAAGCACATAAGGAACTGAATACTTGCATGAAACAACTCAGAAAGATTTAACATGCTTAAAAGAAGCCAAACATCTTTTTATTTTATGCTCATTTAGTAGCAGACAGCTGAAAAATACTTCTTTCAAGACTCTGTGACCTAGTCTCATAATAGAATTGAAATACTTCGAGATATTAGTCTTCATTCCAAAATTTCCACTAAATGCAAACTCATTCACTTCCATCGGGAATGAAGTGGTTAGGAACTTACTAATATATTTATGTTCATTTCTAGTTTTATCACAAATTATCGCATTAGAGGTAAAGAATGGAATTGATCCCAGCTTCCTTATAAACTCTTTATCTTTTTGGTGCCCGAAAAACAGGCGGAATTCAACTTTGGTGTCGAATGAAGCCAGACCCTCCTTGTTTAATCTAATTTGTTCTAAGTCAGAATAAGAACAAAGGTCTCTGAAAATCTGATCATCCTTCTTTCTCTCCTTCTTTAAAGTAGATTCTTCATGTCTAAACCATCAAGAACAGTCATGGACCAAATCCCATGAATGCTATTAAGGAAGAGCCCGCCTAGATTTACTAGAACTTTGAAGCCCTGAAACCCTGGTGCGGACATAGGCCTGTTCTAACTAACCAAGTTTCAGCACAGGCTTTGATCCTTGCCAAAGCAAGCTGACTGAGCTCCCATTTAGATCTCAATTGAAGATCCTTGTGCTTGACTAACCGAAGGAGTACACTTACCTTCTCTTTAAGTGGGTCTGGGTGTCAAGATCCTGAATTGGTCCCTCCATTTTATGGTATCTTTATAAATTATCAATATATCCCTCATCCTCTGGGGTTTTGGGGTTTTGGGGTTTTGGGGTTTTGGGGTTTTGGGGTTTTGGGG